GGTAGTATAGCTATAATTTTATTTAGTTTCGGGTTATAAATATTATAAATTTAGATGTCCTCTCTACTAGTATAGAAAAAAAGGGTAATAAGGTTTAGTAAATAGTACTCTACTAACTACTAGTTAATATTAAGGTTTTTATTAATATATATATATGTTTTTATATATAGGCTTCCTTTATATAAAAGGTAATAAAACTTTATATAAAGTATTATATACTTTTATTGCTATATATTCTTCTATAGCTTTTATATTACTAGTACTAGCGGTTAAAGCTAGGCTCTCTCCGCTTTTTCTAGGAACTTTTTCTAGGTTTTACGGCTTTTATTAATATTATACTATATAATAGTAAGTATACTAGGTTATTTTAATATTAAACTATATCTATAGTATCTGCGGCGTTTACTACACCTATTTTAGCGTATAGTTGCTAGCTTATATTATTTTTCTATAAAAATAGTACTTAGGTAATAGTTTTAAGTTATAAAAGTCTATTTATATCTCTATATATTATTAATTAAGTTAACTAGGTTAGAGGCTATAAAAATAGTAATATAAAGTAAAAAGTATACAGTATCTAAAAAGGCGTTAAATAGGAAAATTGCTGCGTTAAATAAGTAGTCTATATTATTCCGTTAATCTTCGGCTAGCTTAGGTTCTTATTAGAATACTTAAATATCTTCGGTTATTCTATTCTTTTTAGTGCTATTAGCGCTGGCCCTAGTTTTATACTACCTTTATATATATTATTATTAGCAGCTTTTTTTTTCCTAGACTAGGTTAAGGTTATATATACTCTTAGCGGGGCCTAGGGCGTATATAAGCTCGGCCCTTTATTAGTATTATATTAGTATAGCGTCGCCTACCTTTTTAATATAGCCTGTAGCTAGGCCCCTTTTCTTATACTATATTTAGTACTATATACTAAGTGGTTTTTTTTATAGTTAGCGCACTTTTTAGTATCTATTACTATATATTATTTCATATTATATTCCCCTATATATACTATATATTAGATGTCCTTTTTATAGTATTTTATAATATACCTATAGCCCTAGTATCTAAAGCACTATATAGCTATAAAGCCTGCTTTATATTTTAAGGCTATTAGTAATTATCTACTTATTATAAATCCTTTTATAATAGCTTTATCTACTATTGCTTCCGTATATACGCTAGTAATAATTAAGCTAGTATATTAGCCTAGGTTCTCTCGCGCAGCCTTTATACCCTTTTTATTCTTTTATATTATTTTCTCGATAACTAGGCCTAGGTTAATTATCGCGTTGGCCCTAATAATATTATCTTTAAGTATTTAGCTTTCTAGGTTTAAGTTTTTAGGTACTTTATGCACTTCTATTAGCACTGCGGGCAGTTATATATATACTGTTTTACCTAGCACTTACACCTATTTCCTTTTCTTAAGCAGTGCTTTTTTTATAGCCTTATCCGCAATATATACCTTAATATCTCCACTTTATAGCTTTTTTATACTGCTAATCTTTATTATATCTAGTGGTTCGGCTGCTTAAAGCTTCTAGGTAATAGTTATATTTATATCTGCTATAGTTATAGTTCGCTTATTATTATTTTTAATATAGATAGTAATTTTATAGATATTTATAGGTTGCCCTATATACTGCCTATTTCCTGCTGCCTTCCTATATTACGCAGCTATACCGCTTAGTATAGCTAATAGTATTGTGCCTACTGCTGCTGCTGCTGCTGCAGTATACGTCTTCCCGTGCGTTAATAACGCGTGTACCTTCTTTTTCGTGTTCTTTATTATCTTTATTAGCTTTTTCTATAGTATCTGCCGTAGGTCGATCGCGGTATCCAAGAGGCCGAATAGAACGCGTCCTGTAAAGTTATAGAGGGTTTAGACGATCGTATTTATTTTAAGGGATTAGATTAGCTTATTCCGCAGGAGGTTTTATATACTGTGTGCTTCGTTAATAAGGTCTTAAACGTCCTAGTAGACGTTTTTAATAGGCTTCGGGTTTTAGTATTGGTTTTAGCGTTGTTATTATTGTTATTATTATTGTTATTAATGCTGTTGCTAGGGCGGCTGCGTATTAGGGGTCGCAATTCGCGGTATACCTACTGCGACGCCGCCGGCACTACTTATAGGGCTTTAAGGCTGCGTATAATTATTTACAGGGCCTTAAATAGCCCCTAAAGGCCCTTTTTAGGTTGTATTTCTAAGATACTATAGGGTTAATTATATTATATTTTTAATATAAACTATATAGAAGGGTAACTTTTACTTTATTACTTTTTTTTTTAGCCTAAATATTTTAGGGGCTTTTAATAAAGTATTTTATAAGAAAATAATATATAACCTATAGGTTTAATATATACTAGAATAAATAGTCTAATTTATAGAATTATTCCTATAGAACTAAACTATAAAACTTTCTATTAAAAAATATATTACTAAAACTATTCCGGTTAATATAGGTATACTATAAAAATCCTTACTTTTACTAATTTTATTTTTATTTTTTATAAGCACGCTCCTGCCGGTACTATAAAAAGGTAATATAATAGCCTATAGGTTTATAGATAATACTAATATCCTTATATTTAGCAGAAGTATAAAAGAAAACTGCAGGGTAATCGAAAGTGCGTATATATAGTATATAGAGTAGGCGAAAAAGCATAGTATAGTATTTGCCCCGGATAAGTATTACTTTATATACTTTATAAGGCGCTGTTTAAATATAGTAAATATAAAAGCTATAGTAAATATCTAAGGCTTTATAAAGGGCCTAATTATAAAGCTCTATATACTTAGAGTCTAGGTAAACTCTAAACTTAAATAGGGCCCGTATATATATATTATAAAGGAAAAGGCTATAGTATAAATAAAAGCCTTTATACAGCTAATAGTATTAATATAGGGCGTAAGCTTCTAAAAAGCATAGTATATATATTTAGCAGTTATTAGGCCGGTTTTTATATATAGGTGTACTACCTAGTTTCTAACGCTAGGTATAAAGAAATAAATTAGTAAAGCAAAAATTAAATAACTTAAAATAGCCTAGAACTACTTTCTTTATACTATTACAGGGGCGTATAAAATAATAGATATTAAAATACTTAAATATAAAACTTTTTACCCTTTTCTAAAGCTTAAGCTAGAGGAATTTATAGTAGCGTACGCGGACTATATATACGCAAGCTAGGCTAAAAAGCATATTAAAACCACGTGCTATACTATTAGAAATACTATTAAAAAATACTATAAGCCTAAGAAAACGCCTAAATATAAGCTAAGCCGGCGTAATATACTAAAGAAGCTCGCAGTTAAGGCTATAGTACTAGCCCTAAAGTATAAAGGGCAGTTAGATAACTTATATAAGCTTTTAAAATAAGAAGTAATATAGGAAGTATATAAAAAAAGGTAGAGAAATAAATAAAAGGCCTATAGAAAGAAATAAAGAGGCCCTTCTACGCCGGCTCTTAATATAAAATAGAATAAAAATTAGGCAACTAAATACTATAAGCTTATAAAAGTAGAAAGCTTAATTATTACGCTTTTATAAATAGAATATATAGGGCTTAATATATACCTGCACCGTATAAAAGTGCCTAATTACCCTTTACCTGCGTGCCTCTATAGGTATATACTATAGTTTTTAAAGTATATAGTAATATACTATAAATAATACTATAATAGCAGAGGCGATATATTTTTTAAGGCTAGAATAAGAATATATATATAGCTATATAAAGACTATAAAGGAAATAAGGCCGTTTTATAATAGTTTCTATACTAAATAAACTTTCTACTCTACCTTTCTATAGCTAGAAAAATAGCAACGGAAAAGCTAGCTATATAGCTAGCTAATTTATATAGCTACGCCCTAAAAACAGAACTATATATATATACGTATATTATATAACTATAGGTATACCTATAATAGGGTAACCCTTCTAATTTCCTATTATTCTTTAATTTAATACCTTAGCTTTTAAGAAGGAAACTAGTAAACTATTAGGGGTGCAAGTTTATAGCAGGTTAAAAAAGTTGCAGGATAGGCTGCGTTAATTTCCACTAGGCAACCTTCTAGGTATTAGTTAGCAGCTATAAGCGGCTATAATACAGCTCTACGCCTCCTAAAATAACACTAATTCACCTTATATTTTTAGCTAACCGCCGCCTAACTAATCCGTCTAAAGTAATTAGGCTTTGCCGGATTACCGGCTCTGTCTAAGAGAATCTTGGCCGCAGCTTAAACGCGGAGTAAGCGTCTAATATAATAACACCGCTAGTTTAAATTTATTTAAAGTAACTATTTTTACCTAAGTTTAAATCTAAGTTTTTATGCCTACTTTCCTGCCTAAAGGTATATATAAAAGGACTGTTCGCTCTAACTTAGCGCACTCTAGACTTATATTTCTTAGCTATACGTCTATTACTAGATATCCGCTATTATATTCTTATATTTTAGAACATCTCCGCCGCTAGCAAAAAATAGCTAAAAAACTTTATTAGTTATATAAAATCCTAGAATAGAGTTCTTAACAGTCTAATAGGAGGCGGTTTAGTAGTTTAGCTTTTAGATAATATAGTAGTTAAATATAGGTTAGAAGTAACTACTTAGGAAGCGGCGACTTAGGACTTCGCCTATTAATATACCAACTATAGTATTATTCGCATCCCCTAGGTATACCGCTTTTTTATCGATAAGTTAACTAGCCTCCCCTATAGATACCTTTTTATAGAGTATCTCTATAGCTAGGGCTTAGATTACCTCGACCTTAATATTTATATAGATATTATTCCGCGCGTTGCTAGTATAATTTCCTATTTTAGAAGTATATCTAGCAACAGCCAGGCGTCGCCGGGGCTAGTTAGAGAGGGCAAGCTGTAAGGCTACCTCTAGTCTAACTATAGCACTTATACTATATTCCGTTCTATTAAAAATATAAATATATAGCTAAATAAAAGGCTTATATTACACGGTAAATCTATCGATCTTACCTTTTAAAGGCTTATATTCTACTATTTAGATTTCTGCCGTCGGAATATAATTATACTACGCGATAGATTAATAGGCTTTATAGACTTTAGGTATACAGGTTTTTTCCCTTGCTTTTTCGAAATTATTTCCTTAGAATACTTAAATCCCTATAATCCTAATTATACCGGGCTATTTAAAGCAGCGGCGATATAATAATTATACTTAAATAAAGAAGAAAAGGGCTTAATTAAGCTAATATATCGAGTAGTTTCCGTTAATTTGCGATTTATCTACTTATAAGTATAATCCCTTACTAAGTTTCTACTAAATAAGCGCCTCTATTAAGCTAGATCTATATATACTAATAATAATTTCTTTAGTAGTAGTAAAAAGTATATATATACCTATTCTCTACCTAAAGTTATCCCGCCGCCTAATATAAAACCTCTAACACCTCTAAAACCTCTAACCTCTTTATTATTATAACCTTTTCCGCCGCCACCCCCTCTACTAAAATTAGACCGTTAACCACCTATATTAATAACTCCGCCGCCGCCTCTTCTAGCTTAACCTTGTTCCTCTATTAGATAAAAAGCCTAATAGTCGGGTTAGACCGGAAATAGACCGGGTTAGTTTAGTACCAGCGCTTATTTAAGTTAGTAATTTATAGGGTGCTTTTATCTATAGCAAAGTAGCAGAGTATTACTTATATACTTATCCTTTAATTCGCCTTATATAGGTAGTACTCTACAATTATTTGCATATAATATATAGGCTATAAGCGCTAATAACGCGATTTAGATTATCGGTTTTCTTACTTAGGTAAAATACAGTCTATATTCTAGAGTTTTAGTTTAATAAATTATAGACTAGTTATATATATCCGTTTAATTAGCAGTAAAAGGGGTTGTATAATATATACTTAAATAATAACCTTAAGGCCTAAAGCTACTATATAGAAAAAATAAGTTAAAAAAAAAAAGGAAATATAAAGGTATTAAGTTTATATACTCGGGTACTATAGAGAAACGGCTGTAAATAAACCTAGTATTAATTATAGACTTAGCGCCAACTAGGCCTACTAGATAGCTAATATTACTCTTTACCCTATACTAAAGGCCTTGTTAATTATATTAGCAATTATTATAATAAGTCGAAATTGCCTTTAGACCTAATAGCACTTAATACTAGTATTTTCGGAAAGAGAGGTTAAGTTATCCGGATAACCCGGTTATTGCAGGATTTATAGTTATTACTAGAATACCGATATAATAATAGTGTATTAGACTTACGTTCTTATTAGAGCTGGACGGTGCTTAGTATAAACTAAAAGAGCAACTTTTATAGCAAAGCTGCAAATTATAACGCTAACCACGCAGATAACTATATAGATAAAGAAAATAAGAATAAGAATATAGATAAAGATATAACAGAATATAAGCTTTATACTATAGGCCCTAATCTAAGGTTTAATAGAGGTAAAATACGCCTTCCTAAATAAAAGTAAGTAGTGTAGTTAAAGTTAGAAAACAAGCGGTTACTTGCGTATAGGAGAACTATAGCTATAGAGTAGAAGAAGATATTTAAATACTTTCTAGGTCGGACCCTAGGCGCAGTATAAGTACGCTATTACACGCTATAAAAGAAATAATCTATTACTATAATAACATCGATATATATACCCTATCTATCCGGCGATACCGTATATATTATATTATATCCTATAACTATTACTTAGCCGCGTTATATTAGGCCTGCTTCTATAACTTTTAGAGCTAGTTTTATTACGCGGCTTAATTCTCGCAGGTTTTAGGGCAATTTATTGCGTTATAGTCTTAATATTAAGGGGCGATATTACTATAAGCGCAAACCTTAATCTTCTTTAGAATAATACTGCGCCTATATATTCCTACACGCTGGAGAGTATAATATAGGGTAGGAGATCTTATACTTTAGCAAAGTCTGCCTATATCTATACCTAGTATATAACCTTAAGGTCCGCTGTCTTTTTTATAGGGCTGCGGGATTAGTAAAAGCCGGGATAATAGCGGGTTAAGTTGCCTATAGAGTTGTATCTAGATTAGTGCTATTTATAATATCCCTTTCTAAATACCGCAAAATAATAGGGTTTAGCGGCCGGTTGCGCCGCTATACTAGAGTTTTATTTAGCGCCCCGCTATTTTCGATTTCTATAATATTATTTATTTGCGCAGCCCTTAGCGTAAATCGGGTTTAAGTCTAGAACTGCGCGCTAGAAGTATTTTTACGCGCAGTTAACTATAGGCGCTTTAGGGCAGGGCACTTTAGGGGAATTAGTCGGTAATAGACTATTTAGCGGCAGACTTTATTTTAGTAAAAGGGGAGCGTGTACGCTTTAAAGCGCAAGCAAAAGAACGGAGGAGGATAAAGGCGTTATTTTGCGCGGCTTAGGGAGGTAGTCTGCGGGTATATAGTCTATAGGTATATTAGGCAGAGCGGAGGTTTATATACGCCGCCGGCGGTAAAAACAGTCCTTGCGTAGTTATTAGAATAGCGCGTTGTTTAATAGAAAGCTTAACAGATATATCTAACAGGTGCGCCTAGGCTAGAAAATTGCGGGAAAGGTTGCGTAGACGTCCGCAACTCTAGAGTTAATTAGATTAGAAGTCTTATTCTAGGCGCCTAGGCCTCTATTATATTCCTTGCTAAATAGGTTATCTTTACTAATATCTAGGTATTCTAGCTATACTAATATCTCTTCAGCGCCCGTTTATATATTCTCCCAGCACTAGTTATTATACTAGCTAACGTCGACGTTAGTATTAGTATCGGTGTTATTCGCAAATACTCTAGCTAAGTAGAACGGTTTGCTAGACTAGTTGCTGCTAATATACTAACTTCGGTTGCCGAAAAAGCCGTTTTATAAGCCGCTAGGGTTATATAAAACAGGAGCGTTGCCGTTTATAATTTAGAGCTAGGGCCGCGGAATTAGAAAAGCTAAGGGCGGCTATATTAAGGTTACGTTTCCTTAATAGTTATACTAAGCCTAAGAAGTATAAGTATTACGCGGGTTTATAAAGCTACTACTGCCTTAGTTCTAGAATCCGCCGTACTATCTATACTATTAATAATAGGCCGTTTAGTAGTAGACTGGGCGGAGCGTTTATACTTTAAAGTATAGGTAATAGAATAGAAAGGGATAAAGGCGTTCTGCACGGGCGGCGTATTAATAGCTAAATTATTGCTTGGGAGGAGTATCCGGGGTTTAAATATAAAGGTTGCGAAAATAATCCGGGCATAGAGTAGACTAGTATAGATAAGCAACTTCTAGAAAATAAAGTTGCTAGGTAAAGTAGTAGTAGTGGCGTAGGGGTTTAGTTCTATACTATATCTATAACTTTCGGGGCTAGTTTTAGTATACAGCTCGATTTTTACAGGTTATAGAGCGATTAGTTCTATATTATAGTCTTAATATTAAGGGATAATATTACTATATCGGAGGGTTTAGATAAGGCGCTTTAATAGAAGACTAAAGGAGTTAAAAGGGGATAAAATAAGTATAGTAGATCCGTAGCAATTAGTTCTAATATTAAACTCCCTACTTTTATAGTTATATTTACTAAAAGGGGACCGCAGTTCCGTTTCTATTTTAGGACCTAAGCAAGGTATTCTTAGTTAAGTTATATAGCTAAGCAGTTCCAAATTAAATAGGACTAGATTACAGCTATAACTAAATACTAAAATTATTATAGTATATAGTTTAGCCGCGCTAGCAGGAAGGGTGCCAACCCGCACCGGCCGCGTTTTTATAAGGACCTGCTTTTTAGTTATAGAGTAGAGAAAAAAGGATATAGGCAACTGTAGTTAGCTATTATAGGCGTAGTATTATAGCGGTTAGTATAGCGCAGGTGCTAAGTTAATTTAAGGGTTAGAGTCCTAGTTCTCGCGTACTAAACTTTATAAAATACGGCTTTCTACGTGGAAAACAGGTGCGGGTTATTCTATTATATAATATTTCTAAAACACTACCAGCTAGACTAACGGCCTAAATAGTGTATTTTTATAGCGTATAGGGGTTTAGTTGTATAGTTACGCAAAGTTATAAAGTACGGATTCTATAAAACCCTAAAATAGCTCTATATAATATTAAGCTAATAATAAAGAAAGTAAAAAGCCGCTTCCCTTCTAAGCCCTGCAGCTTATTTAACGTTTAAACACGCTTAACCTTATTTCTACTTAGAGCTTAACCTACTAACAACTCTATAATAGTAAGTAATAGCAGCACCTTCTACCTCCTGTTACCCGCTAAATTCTAGCGCCAGTTATTTATCTAGTAACCTTAGTAAGATATTAGCCTTATCTTTATATAATAACTAAAAGCAGGCGAATAGAGCGGCTATAGTCCAGGCGCTTACAGATCTAATAATAGCAGAACTAATATAAAAAATAGCCAGTTCTTATAAAGAGAGACGGAAAAAGGGTAGTAAATACTAGTATATACTCTATAATATAAGTTAAGTTTATTATATAAGTCTATTAATATTTAATATAGTAGTAATAGTAGTATACTAGCTTAACGTCTAGAATCTATCTAAATATTTAGTCGGTCGCATAATAATATTAATACACTTTAAAAGGATGCTGTGCTGGCTAAATATAGCAGCCTACTAATTTAGGATTACTATAGATTTTATAGAATAGGTATAAGGAATAAGAAATAAAAGGGCGTTTGTTAAGGGGTGAATTTAGCGATTCTTAGCTAGGTTAAGCCGACTTTTAACTTTATTAAATTCTATTTATAGGTATTACTTAATATATCCTCCGGCTTAGATATCTATAAAAAGCGCGAGAACCTAAAGTACTTAGGTAGAAGCTTTCTAGTCGGCCGGCACAGGGGTTAAAGGCGCGCCTGCGAAAATTAAGGGCGGTGCAATATTTTTATACTTTTTTACAGTATCTATTATATAAATATAGCCGTCTCTTATACTATAAATTGCTTATATTGCGAACTTAAACTATAACTGTTATAAGGAACTAGTTAGGGCTTAGGAGTTTCGGCACGGTCTATTTATAATATCTTACTTCTTATTTATATTGTCGAAAGAAGCTCTAGGTCTACCGACTCCGCTAAAGCTTATTTATTTAAAAAACGGCCTAGCTATGCACTTTTCGTTAATATTCGAGAAAAAACGCCTTCTTCTTATTTAGGAACTAACTAACTTAGATGCAACGGT